CAGCGCGCACGTGCTAACCATTCAGCCACCCAACCCCCCGTAGTTCTCCTGTACCCAGTATTAAACTTTGCCTTATTTACTCTCTCTCTCTCTCGATCTAATAAAGTACATGTATATTATTCCATGCAGGAGATTTTTTTACTAATTATCCAGCATGTCACTTCTATCGTAGATTAAAACCATTACTTGTATTGGTAAAAAGGATATCCCCCTTTCAACACGCGGACATTAATCGCTGTTAGGTAATTGGAGTTCGGTAAATCCGATTCGGTAATTGGACGAAAAGTGGATTGGCGTAGAATTGGTCTGTAAAGAAATAAAACATAACTACAAACTAGATGGATGCTATTCGACAAAAAAAGCAAAAATTATCAGAGCTTTCAAGATTTGAGGAACTGCAATTATACGAATCCGTGGCCGGATGAAAAGTGATTTTCTGCTTGTAAAGTAACAATTACGAAACTTGTGTCTGAAAGATTGAGTGTTGACTTTACACCGGAAGTACTCGGGTTAGAGAATAGATGAATTATTATTGGTTGCCTACGTGCTGCCTTTCAATTAGAGATTTGAGATCAATCTGTTTTGATGCATCCAATCTTGGTAAGGTTTATTAGAGGGATTTCAAAAACACATCCTTCTTGCTTTGTATTATTATCGCGGATTGATGCCAAGCTTGTTGCCCGCACTACATTTCTGGTAACCTTTATGATGTATTAACATTAAATTCTGGAATATTGACGCCTAACACAGTTTGGTTCGTGTTTAGAACGTGAGACCCGTCCGTGTATATTTTCACATGACGACCATTTTTCGTTTAAGTATTCCCTCGATAGTCTATAGTGGATTTTCTTTCTTATTATCAACATTACTTAGATGATAGTTTGGATTTAATAAAGTCCACGGAGATTGAGAAGAAGATACTTTATCAGTAATCTTACGTTGAACTGGCGGTTTGGATGGCCGACGAATGGTTAGCACGTGCGCGCTGTATCATAAGGTCTGTCATTGCGTCAACTGGCGTGGTTTCGATTCCCCGGTTGTACGTGACAAGGAGTACACAGCGGTCGCTTGTACCACTGCGTGGGTTTTCTCCGGGTCCTCCGGTTGTACGTGGCAAGGAGTAGGGTCGCTTGTACCACTGCGTGGGTTTTCTCCGGGTCCTCCGGTTTCCTACCACAGCTAAAGATTCTGCGCGCAAGCGAATTCTTCAAATAAAATTGAACCATATGTTAGTCCCGAAATGGCCTAGTTTGTGTCGAGTGGACGCTAAACCCCATTTCTCTCTCTCTCTCTCTCTCTATATATATATATATATATATATATATATATTGATCTAATACTAGATATTTTAATAAATCATTTTGCTTTTTGACCGAATGGTTGAGTCTCCAATTTAACATTTCTTTTATAAAAATTTCTTTGATGATTTTGTGCACGTTAATATTGTATCTTAGCCCAGTATCTCAATGTCGAATGGCATTTCACCTACGTCCTGAAGTTCCTGCAATAGACTTACCCTTTCTGTGCCAAATGAAGTTTGGAGACCAGACAAACCACACAGACACCGCAGGAAATAAACAACAAATAGATTTATCAACGTACGACTATAGTTCAATACATTGCTAAATGAAATGGTGTTTAACGTCCTCGTGTTCTGCAACAACAGGGCTAATGAAGACGGGCACTTTGCTCAGACAGACTCTTCGTCGAATTCCAACTGTCAAGTGATCTTTTACGTCCCATTCGAACGACTATACATTGTCCCTTGCACGTTCTTAATGAACCTTTGTTCACTCATCAACCTAATATAGCAGTTGTGTTTTTTGTTTCCAATTGCCACGAATGACTATTCCAGATTCATTATGTAACGATAATTCTTAACGGGTCAGTTAGTCTCCTAGATCCATAACTGTCGTTATTCGGAGACGACGGTGGTACGTTCTGTCATGTATATACACCTTGGGGAAATACGCCATCATAATTCAGGCAGATAAATCGGCGCTCTACGTCTATTGGATTATGTAACCTATCGCATGCCTCTTTATTCATCAACTCCGAGATTAGTCAATCTCAGAAAGAGAGAGAGAGAGCGAGAGAGAGAGAGAGAGAGAGAGAGAGAGATGTTGACGTCCACTCGACACAAACTAGGTCATTTCGGGACTAACATATGATTCAATTTTATATAAATGGCCGAATGGTTAGCGCGTGCGCGTTATACCAAAGTGTCTGTCATTGAGTTAACTGATGTACTTTCGATTCCCCGGTTGTACGTGACAAGGAGTAGGGTCACCTGTCCAACCTCGTAGACTTGCTCCGGATCCTCCAGTTTAATTTATTGAAATTAAATTAAAATGACCTAGTTTGTGTCGAGTGGACGTTTAACTCCATTTCTCTCTGTTAAACACCAGGAACAACAACTGGTGCTTTATATATATCTAACCGTTGGCCACATCGGGGAAGATCATTGCGCAACCGTGGCGAACCTTGGTGTACAGGGACACAACGGGAGTTAAAGGTCTGAAATACCAGGATGAACCACTGCCGTGGTTACACCGTACTAAGCCGTAATGGCACCATCAAAACCGTAGTGGTACCAAGATGTACTATTGCCTTGGTTACACCGTACGTAGTAAACATGGCACCATTTAAACCGTAGTGGTCCCAGGATGTACCACTGCCGTGGTTACTCCGTAGTAAGCCGTAATGGCACCATCAAAACCGTAGTGGTACCAAGATGTACTATTGCCTTGGTTACACCGTACGTAGTAAACATGGCACCACTTAAACCGTAGTGGTGCCAGGATGTACCACTGTCGTGGTTACACTGTAGTAAACCGCAATGACAACCATCGAAACCGTAGTGGCACCGTGGAGTGCCGGTTTTTTGAGAACCGGGGAAGATCGGAAGAACCTGGGGAATGTGTGACCTAATAAATTGTCGGGGATTATGTTTTATCTTGTGTATGGTTAAACTGTTTTTAAACTAATCGTGATGATAGACAATGAAACTGTTCTGTGGTATTTCTGTTATATTATACAATAACATATTTGGGCAATGTCCGGTTTGCAATACGCAATTAGGGAGAAAGAGAAAGAAATGTGGTTTAATGTCCATTCGACACAAACTAGGTCATTTTGGGACTAACACATGGTTTAATTTTATTTTAATAATTCTCTTGCGTGTACGGTCTTTAGCAGTGTGAGGAAAACGGAGGACCCGGTCAAAACCCACGAGGTTGGACAGACGATCCTACTCCTTGTCACGTACAACCGGGGAATCGAGTGGAAGTTAAACCCCATTTCGCCCGCTCTCAACCGAATCTGATCTCCTCCTCAACTAACCTGACCTCCTCCCTAACCGACCTGACCTCCTCCCCAACCAACCTGACCTACTGCCCAGCCGACCTGACCTCCTCCCCGACCAACCTGACCTCCTCCCCAACCAATCTGATCTACTGCCCAACCAACCTGATCTCCGCCCAAACCGAACTGATCTCTACCCAAATCGAACTGATCTCCTACTCAAAGGGCTGATCTCCTCCGCAACCGACCGACCACTGCCCCTAAACCTGCCCAATCTTTTTCTCTCCCCCGTCCGTCCTGATCTCCCCATCGACCATAATAGACGAGGAGATAACAGACAATATGTCTAAACTACAAAACTATAGACCGACAGCTTATAAAAGTTCATTATTCCCCTTTTTGAAAGTTTATTTATCATTGTGAGTGAAGTCGGTGTCACTACAGACCCCGGACTGTACAACGCAGTGGACGCTACCGGTAGTCTCCAGATTCATCCCCTTTTACGATTGTTATTCATTGTGTCTGTATCGTATCGTGTCTGTAGGTTTGTCGTGTGTACGAAAAAGGTCATGCCGCTCTTTACAAGTTCCAACAACATAGCCTCCAGTTCATTCACTTTTGCGTTTGCTGTTTATTGTGTCGTGTCCGTAGATTTGTCGTGTGTATTTGTATGTGGTGCGAATCCGTCCACCCCAAGCTGCTCTCTACAAGTTTCAACAAAACAGAGGAAAACTTTTCAGACATGATAGATTCTCCGACTGAGCTAATGAAGACGGACATATGCCATAACAGTGTGCTATGAGAGAAATTTTGCCCGGGCAGCGGCACTATGGTCTACTCTTATATCGCATTCCAACTGCCAAGGGATCTTTTACATGCACGTCAATGTATACACGGGACCTCGGTTTTTTGTCCCATCCGAACGACTAGGCAGCTGTCCTTGTCAGGCACTCCACCCTGCACCACAGATTATATTGTAGAGCGATTGTTATCTAGACGACAGTAGTCGCCATGCTGATCTCTACAATTAAGTGATAGAATGAAATGTGGTTTAACATCCGGGTTTTTTTCGCCACCAATCGGAAACGTTTCCCCGGAGGGCGGTATTTTTACGTGTACGTACGCCAACTTGTACACGACTGACCTGGGGAGACCACGCAGGAAAGTCCTGGGTTACTTTCTCGAACCCCGGAATTCCTGGTTAGTGAGTCCGTGTGGCGCCATGATATAAAAATAGTCACTAGTGGGTCTTTCAATGTAAGGGGGGTTGGATGGCCGAATGGTTAGCACGTGCGGCGCTATATCATAAGGCCTGTCATTGAGTCAACTGGCCTGGTTTTGAAATGACCTAGTTTGTGTCGAGTGGACGTTAAACCCCATTTCTATCTTTCTGTCTTTCAATTTAAATACGAACCGCATTGTACTCATGTAAATGATGCGACACACTCTGGGTTACTGCCAAGCTAGATTCAATGTCCCTATTCAAAAAAAAAAGATACTAACACGACATCTGAACACAGTCTTAATGGCGGGTACCGAAGTAAAGCTGTCAGTGATTGGTCCAATATACTAAGCACTTTGATTGATAATGGATAACGGCGTATCATTGAGCTAACTGATCGATGTCCATGCTATTGATAAATGTATCGTATGAAACGTATTTGATATGTTCTCGCAGTATTTAAAAGCCTGCCTCGACACATTGTTGCCAAATTTCACAGTTGAAATCATTCACGCGCTTCGACTCTATACTTCGCGCGCGAAGTGCAGTCGTCTGCCACACACTACGATAGTTTCGTACTTTATGATGAAGCAGTTATTTAAGTGAGCCGCTTGTTGAAGTAATAACATAACAATTTAATAACTCTTCAAGTCTACGAGTTTGAGAAATAACAAAAAAACTGTCTTAGTGTTTTATTCTCTTCTTACAATGGATTATCGTTATTAAATAAGTATTCCGGAGTTCAGTGTTGATAAAGGTAAGAAGTTTCTTGAATTTCGTTGCTATTCATTTACTGTCAAATTCAAGTCGTTTACAAAACATTGTTTTCTTTGTATGTACTTTCAAACTAAAGATTACACCTTTTTTTGTGTTAGAAATATTTTATTTTATTTTTATAACTTCACATCCAAGATCTGATTATCTATGACAAACTGGACACGCGTCATGTTGAGGTGTCAAGTCTCCATACTTCGGTTATTTTGATAATAACACTATTTTGTTACCTTACGAGAGAGAAAGAGATGGGGTTTGGGTGGTGGATGTCCACTCAAAATTAACAAGGTGATGTTGAGGTGTGAAGTCTCAATACTTAGGTTATTTTGGTAGTATAACACTATTTTGTTATCTTATGCGAGAGAGTTGAGATGTGAAGTCTGGATACTTCGGTTATTTTGGTAGTGCCGAAATGCTGTTTTCTGGGGGGTGTAGCTTATTCCAACACTTATGACGGTGATAACTCAGAATAAATAGTTAAACTTCTACTTTTAATAGAGTGTCCAAAAACTGGTTAACGGTCATAATAACTAACGACATAAGTATCGCACCAGACTAAAGTTACAGTAGAATATAGAACATATATACAAGTTTAGGATTAAAATAATTATATAATAATATTTGATCAGAAATGTTAAATTGAACATAGGAAACAGATGTTTAAATACAGAAGATGATATCTATATGTAAACTATAATTACGTAATATTATATCGTTATAATAAGTATAAACCTAAACAGTTAAAAGACTTGAAAGATTAGTGAGATATCAATTCGAACATAGGTCAATTATTACTTTAACTAAAATTATATAATAATAAAATATATACATAGATGCACTGTAACAGTAGTAACACTATTTTGTTATGTTACATGAGAGAGAAAGAGATGGAGAGAGAGAGAGAGGGGGGAAGAGAGAGAGGGGGGTGGTTGATGTTCAATCAAGACTAACTGGTACAATTTTAATCCAGTGACTAGCTTTTAATAATAGGACTGTAAAATACAGATAAACCAATACAAACCTCGCGGTCCAGTAGATAACCCTACCCTTCAAGATTGGGGTAGAACCCACGCCTTGCATAGGCAAACGTTGCTAGCTGTGGAAGCTTTCAAGGTAACTGATCAAGATGCATTCCTGAATCCGAATTTTGTAATAAAAGTCTTTCAAGCAATATTTGTTACAGTCTAAATAAAATCTCGCTGTACAATATTTATTCAGTGTAAAGATTAGACCCAATAAAGAAAAACAATATGTAAAAAACGTTCCAGAAAAATACACCATTAATGTATAAAATTATTTCCATGTATATTGTATAATGCACAATGTGTGCAACAAAGAATATTCGATTTCCGTTAAACCCCCCCCCCCCCCCATTTTATTCATTCATTGCTTTCCTATTTCAAGACAGTGGCCCTCGAAGTGGTATTCTTTCATTATTATCAATAAAATTAAAATATTTGATATTTTTTTGTACAGTTTTTTTTGTTTTGAAATTTCCACTCATAGTGGTAGAGTGTGTTTTAATGTGAACATTTATTTTGGTTTTTTTTTTGTTTTGTGGTATTCTTTCATTGTTATAAATAAAATTAAAATATTTGATATTATTTGTAAAGTTTTCTTTTTTTCTTAAAATTTCCACTCATAGAAATAGAGTGTGTTTTAATGTGAACATTTGTTTTTGTTTTTTTGTTTTTGTTTTTAGTTGGTTTTTTTTTTTTTTTTTTTTTTTTTTTGGGGGGGGGGGGGGGGTAAATTCCACTCATAGAAATAGAGTGTGTTTTAATATAGAAATGAAAGGAACTGAATTAGAAATGAAATGGGGTTTAACGTCCTACTGTTCTGGATGAACTTTCTCTGCCAATGCAGGGATCGAACACCCGACCTCTAGGCTAGCGTTAGTCCCGAAATGACCTAGTTTGTGTCGAAGGGACGTTAAATCCCATTTCTCTCTCTCTCCGGGCTAACGAGCCAGCGTGTGACCCACTTAGCCACGTGATCCCCCCGTTTAAATGTGAACATTTATGATAGTTGGTTATCAGAGTCTAGCAAGCCTTGCTTTCTTTTGCGTTGCGTGTCATGCGACCGATGAAATAACCGTTGTAAAAAGAAAGTTCAATATGACACACTGGATTCTATGTTATTCTATTCTTTGAATGGCATTTAGTAATTGGAACATAATCAAAAAACACACTTTTATGGATAACAATTACTATGGTTTATTTCACTGCGACGTTTCAACAAGGTTTCACAAGTCGTTATCAGGCGCTTGTGAAACCTTGTTGAAACGTCGCAGTGAAATAAACCATAGTAATTGTTATCCATAAAAGTGTGTTTTTGATGGATTCTATGTTCCTGACATTAAATATTGTTCTAGTCTAAATTAAGTAACAGTTATCGCAGATGCATTTCACTTTGTCAAGAATTATTCTAAAGAGTTTGTTGCAGTTCCAAGTCATACTTGTTTATTCATATTTTTTTTTCGTATCGAACTCTTATTTTATTGTTTGATCGCAGTTGTTATTGTAAAGCGAAATGAAATGAAATGAACTGAAATGGGATCCTGCTTCACGGAGAAGGGGAAACCATGCCAACACAGGGATCGAACACGGGACCTCCAGGTTATTGAGCTAACATCTTATATATTACGTACTGATCAACCTTGTTATCCGAAGCTCAGCTTGGCTCAATATTTTAGTGGAATGTTTCAGTATAAATATATATCTTTCGTCCATTTTGCGTAGTGATTTCAGAATCTGTCTGGGTATAAATTTTAGCAAACACAAAAATCTTACATCTTGCCTGCGATATCTCTTGTTGTGGAAGCAGATGTTAAAGAACAAGAGAGAGAGAGAGAGAGGAGGAAAGAGAGAGAGGGAGAGAGGGGGAGGAATGGTGGTCTAGAAAAGTTGATGTATAGCCCGTGTTCTGGATGATGTGAGGGATTAGCCAATGAAACAATCTGTTGCAGTGATTTCTTGGAGTGCGATGAACGGAACTGTGGGTATCCTACTAGAAACATCAACGCTGATATAGATCTGTATTTTATTCAGATTGTACTATAATCTTACTTACATGCACGCAAGATACTGTTAAGGCGCATGATGGACAGAATCTAAAGTTGCGTGTTTTAGAACTAAATCCGGATCTTTGTCGTTTTCCAGAAATCCTCTAAAGCTTAGAGGTCCTGATTGACTGACACCGGACATCACGTGCCGGAAATAGTAATCATACCTTGGCGACAGATTATAAAAATAATAATAATGACTTTATTTTCTGAAGAAACATATTTAGTACATGAGTTCTAATTTTCAACATGTCCCTCCTACTCTCTAAAACTAGCAACTACACAGTAATAATATTCACAAAGTGCATATTATATAATCTTATAATAAAGAAATATCAAACAAACAAGAAAGAATAAAAAGGCAAATAAACATACATTCAAAGGAAAATAGTAATTAACAAGGGTTGAAAGATTTGACATGTTTTACTAACTCCTTTGTTGAAGATAAAACATGAAGACGCATGATTCTATTTTAGACTATATTTAGACTATTTTTAGACTAGAATAAATATCGGTTATATTCGTATAATGTTCTATTTAATAATACAGTGTAGGCTTACAGATTTTCTTTATCTCTTTATCATTATAATTTAAACTATGAGATCATCTTATCGTTTATGTTTTCCATAAATATTTTAATGTCAGTACAGTTTTTCTTTCCTATTTTGGATAATTATTTAAAATCTTACAGGCCCTTAGAACTATTTTAATGTTGGCGGTAAAATATCATATGTGCACAATCCCTGATTGTCATATACGAGTTATTTTTGAATCGCTGGTAAAACTAAAATATTGTGAAAGGAATATAAGTCTAATCTTGGTTTAAGGGTACATCCCCGGGTACAAACTGGGTGATTTGATGATATATTTGGACTAAAAACATATTCAAACTAATTAATTATTCATAATTTGCTTCCTTTTCAAAACATTGCAATTGTCGGGGAATACCCTGGCTATAAAAAATCGATCAAAAGAGGTCATGTTTGTGTCACAAGCGAATCGGAGGAGAATTCATTGCATACACAAGACGATGTTGTCTTTAATCGTTGACTATTTATTACAAATATCGAATCCGAATGAAATTCTCGGATTATCCACTGCCAGCGTCTCTTTCCGTGATTTTTATCTCAGAAAGTGTTGTACGCCTAATTCTTCATAAAATTTATAAAAATGTACATCAAGCGCTCAATCTCCGCGTGCAACCTTCGACGTCACGCGTGCATACACTCCTAATCGTCGGGCTGTCGATTAGGGAAACCCTTACATTTTTGTCCTGTATGCGCTCCATGAGAGTTTTTCAGGGAATCCAGTATTTATCTAGTAAGATTGAATATTCCTACTTCCCTATAGCAAAATTCCCATACATTTATTGGAAATAACCTCCCGATAAATACTTTTCTGGGAACGCAGCTTTAATTCTGTTGTGTATTTAGACATATATTTAAAGAGTTGTACCGGGTTCAATATTCAATCTAGAGTAAAACGTAGAACATTAAAAATAAAAGATAATTTCGTGGTAAAAACCCATAACTTTGTATGCATTTAACCTGAAAAGCGTCCAACCTTTCAACTATTAATCGTCAGAATTCTATTTTCATCAACAGAATTTCTACGTTCATTTTTTGACTGTTGACTTTTTACTTTACTCACGATTTTAATAATTAAGTTCAGGATGATATTATAACACCGGCGGAAAAAAGACGCTGGTCCAGTAACCGGGAGGGGGTGAATGGCTGAATGGTTAGCGTGTGAGCGTTGTATCATATAGTCAACTGGCGTGGTTTTGATTCCCCAGTTGTACGTGACAAGGAGTAGGGTCGCTTGTCCAACCTCGTGGGTTTTCTCCGGGTCCTCCATTGATGTTGTGATCTTACCGAGAAAATATGGGCTTCTGATATCTAAAATTTAAGACAAATAAA